ATTTTAATTTCTGAAATTGTAAAACCCTCACGTTTTCTTAAAAATGCTCTTTTATTTGGAAATTATTATTTATTAAAGCTCTACTATCTAATTATTCCATAATAAGTGCAAATGAATCTAGAAAGTAGCGTTTTACTCTTTGTTTTCAAGATTTGAGCAAATTAGGGTTTTAGCGATTTTTCCGCCGGATGAATTTTCGGTACTGGCCAAGGATCAATTTGATGATTAAAAGTGACTTTTAAGTGAGAAATAATATGTGAATAGAAGCAATTATATAAGGTTAGTGAATGGGAAGTAAAAACCCTAGTACGGGTGTTTTTAAGAAAAACGGCGCGAACCGGCGGGTCCCGCGCACTACCGATTGAACGCACCACTGGACCACCACTTTCTTACCACATGAGCTCATTGGTATTTGAGCAAAATATCTTCTTAATTTCCAGCTAAGTCTGACCAAAATTAGAGGCTAAAATAACAAGGATAGGAAAGAGAAAAATGAAAGGTGGTGGTGGCGACAAGTGTCGCCACCCTAGAGTTTCTTGGCCAAGTGATTAACTAACCTTATTAAACCAATTTTCTGGACTTTCCCCTTCATTTCTCCTGCTGCTGGTCGACCAAAAGAGAGAGAGAAAGGGAGAGCAAAAGAAAAAAATTCTTTCTTCTTGAATCTTAGCCAAACCAAGTGAGAAAATCCAATTTTAAACCGATTAAAGTGGAGGTTGTGAGTTGGGAAGCTTGAGGAACTAAGAAATTTCTAAGGGGGTGAAGAATCACTCTTCCAAGACTTGCTTTTGAGGTATAAACATCTGATCATGATCCTTGTTGCTTTAATCTTGCTTTAAGATGTTTTTTTTAGCTTAAGTTTTGGCTTGATTTCATGATTATCCAAGTGGTTGTGATGAATTTTGGGATGAATAAGCAAGCTAGGGTTTCAGAGTTTCTGCCTAAACTTGTTGTGTGGTTGTAAATGTTGTAAATAAGGTTATATAAGGTTGTTTGGTAGTGATTAGAACAAGAAATTTGAGAAAATTCCATTAAATACCAAAAATTCCAGAATCTGGAAAATTTTCCCCAACTTTCTGTCCGGTTTTGTAACCCTATGTTAGAGGCCGAATTGGCCTTAGGTCAAAACATGAAAGTTGTAGAGAATGGTATTTTATAGGTTCCTGTAAAATTTCAGCTCAATCGGAGCAACGTACCATGTGAAAAGACGAAAATACCCTTGCTGTTTTAGGTTACCTTCCAGAATGCCGCGTGGACAGTTCAGTCTATTTGATGGTATTTATTCGCTGTAATCCGTTCAGTTTTAGTCTTGGCCCAAAACATGAAAGTTTTAGTGCCCTGTCTTAGCTTTCTAACGCCTCAAAGAACACCTTAATCGGACCTTGGTAACCTGAGATATGACCATTCCAGTGCAGTGTGGTTAAATAGCCGACTAGTTGGGTTTTGGTTCTGTAAATTGAGGATTTGACTAGGTTGCATTGGAAAATGGACCAAGTGATCTTCATGAACATTGTATCCCTGAGTCTTAGCTTCGAAACGGCATAAGTTTCGCCTCAATCCAATAAGCGTAGCCTCGGATGTGTTATTTCCGCAACCATACGTCAAATCTGTCTTTTGCTAGGTTACATTTCCACCCTTATTATCACTTTGATTTTTGTTCTTATGTTGTGTTGAGCCTATGGAATGGCTAATGAACTGAAATTATATTGTGGATGATGTTGGGTTGGATTGTGTAAGGATTGAAGCCAAAATGGCTGGAAAATTTGGTAAACACAAAGGGCATGCTGCCCGAATTTACACTCGAGGACTAGGAAACTATACTTGTAACGTGAGTAAGGGTTAAGTGATTATCACTCGAGCTAGCGAGGACCTTGCTGCTTTGTTATCAAGGGTTATATGTTAGGACTTGGCCGAACTTGTACCCTTGAGAAATGAAATCATGATTGCTCGGAGTATATTTTCCTTGTACTTTCGACTCGCATGGCATTTTCAAGTAAAAATGTTACAAAGTTTTACTGTTTAAAAAGCGAGCAAGTGTTTCACGACTACTCTCCAAGTGAATTTCAATTTCTTGATCTTTATTGACGAAACGTCTAAGTTTCGAATTCTAGACATGTTTCAAAGTTCTCAAACTGAGTTTATCGCATATTTGGACTCCGAACCCAGAGTATAACCTGAAAGTGACCAGTAAAGGCACTATATCTTGTGGTGAGTGCTTTCAAATACTGAATTGCACTAGATACTTGAACTTGATACGTGACCAATATGAGTACATGTTATATACGTGAATTGACAGGGCAAGAGTGTACTTTATCGCACTTGCTCTTACGTGATATACTTGTTTATTGATTGCAATTGACTTGATATACTTGATGTGCGCACTTCCTGGAATTCCAGAAACTCTGTGGCGAGTTACTCTAGTCGAGCCGGCAAGGGCTTGGTCGATTGGGTAACGAACCCTGGGTCTCTTGTTTTGTCGAGTGGAGTGATACCTCCTCGGCTAATCGGTATACTCGAGTATTACCACCCATGTTTATTGAGGATTTTGGGCCCAGTAGGGGGTGTGAATGGTGGACGGATAGTCGTGTAAGTGGTGCTCTACTGGATTGGTTCCTTTACTTGAAAGTTGACGGAGTGTCAACTACTACGTGATCAAGCTCCTGATGATGAATGGAAGTTGGCTCCTGAGGGCCATCCGTATCCTTATGCTTTGGATTGATTATTGCTTATTGGATTATTGTTGATTTTGAAAAACTTTTACACTCGCTCATTTTGAGATTTCTACTTGACGTGTTATTGTTCACATTTATGAACTCTTCATGCTCCTTACTTTGCTATATCGAAAACTTGTACTTATAAATAATGGTCAATTTGCTATTTGGAACCTCACTGGGCTTTTAGCTCATACCACGTTATTTGTTTTCCTTACAGGGGTACGAGCGAGGCGTGAGATATGTAAAGACTAGCGTAGTCTAGTTGTTTGACTTTTGACTTGTACTCGCGCTATTCCTCGAATGGAACATTTTGTATTTGGATTGTATTCGTTTTGAACTAGTTTAAGTATATCGAGACTTTGTACCCTGATCTCTATCAATGTAAATTATAAGTTTGAATTGTGGATGTTATTTATGGTCCATGGATGTGTGCACGTGATTTGAGTGAGTGAGTCCTGGCGAGAGTTGGGCAGGCGGTTTGCCAAACCCTTTGGTACGCCTCAGGGGGAGGTGGGGTCGTCACATAGATCACATTATGTTAATTGTAAATCACAAATTTCAATAATCTTATTATCTTCATAATATAGTATATATCAATCACAAAAGCCATTAAATATATAATACAAACATTCAATAAAATGTACAAACAAAACCATTAAAATTACAAATCAAAACCAAAACAAACAAGTAACCAATAATTCCATTGATCAATCATTTGATACTGCAACTTCGGATACCAACCCACACAAACTTAGAGCTCAAAAACAAACACCACCAAGTCCATCCAAAAAACAAACCACGACATTGTTTATCATAAGTTAAACAGCGACATTTTCGAAGCAACCAAAAACCTATTTACATATAACCAAGACAAAAAAAATATTATATACATTACAATTACCACTACATTTAACAAAAAAAATAACAAACGAATTCTAACAAAATATTTTACAAACTTTAAGCTGAATACACAATACAAAAAAAAATTAATTTCCAACAAATATACACTACTTAATTAAATGCACACCAAACCAACAAACCCAACCATAAAAATAACCACCCAAACTAATAAAAATTCAGCAGAAAATAACGCAAAAACCAACACTGCTTCTATTAAATTATATAAAATTTATAATGAACGACCACAATAAACAAAAATAATTCATAGACATATACAAAAAAAAGATACAACCAATAACCCCTAATAGGGGCACCCCGCGTCAAACGCGGGGTCTCACCACCTAGTAATACTGAAAGCATGGGAAAAGAAATAGGGTGACTGATTATTCCCTCATATGCTTCGAGTTGGAGTTCTACAGCGTGTTCTTGTTTGATTATTTAATTTGATTTTAAATTTTGATTTTGCGAAAAAAAAAAAAAAAAATTTTGGCATTCTTGTTTGATTTTATGTCTAGATTTTTGAAACCGATGGTATAGCTAAGAGTAGTGTTTGTGCAGTCCAATTAATTTTTATTTTTTTTTTTTTTTTGCAAAATTTAGAGCAACTCCTACGTCAGGCCATCTTTCTTTTGGCAGTGAGTCTGCAACTGGTCAATTTTAGGACCAGATTATAAAAAAAGGCCAGGTCCAAATCTTGAAGACCAAAAATACTGTAAAAAGATTACTAGCACTTTAACAAATAGTGTAATTAAGGCTCACATTCGAACTTGCCATAATATTCTCTAATTTAGAAAGCAAAAACAGCAAGGAGATTGGTTAACTTTCCCACATTCCACGATTAAAGAACCCTTTTGATTATTAAAGTCCATTTAGGAAAAAACCAAAAAGGCAAAAAAAAAAAAAACTCCGGAGAAATTTCCGTAATTTGGTAGAAGCATAGGACTCAGATATAGGATTTGGGATAGACAGGATTGGAGGTTGGTATAATTGTCCAATTGTTATACTTTCTATATTATATGATATACACTTGTATAATTTTATTACACTCGTAGGGTTTATTCGTGTATATCATGTCAATGCATAAAATAAGTGTGCCGGCACATTATACATACAGTATACTAATAGCACCTAATTAGATCTAAACCAATCGTTTGGATTGGCCATTTTTTCAAAAAAACATCTCATTTATAAAATATGTCAAATATTTTTAAAATTATTTATAATTAAAAATTTTTCATATACACTGCTACAGTAAAATTTTTTAAAAACACTCCAAAAAATGACTAATCTAATCCGTGCCAAGAATGAGAACCACTAGATGTCACATCTTTACCGAAGAACGAGAACCACTAGAAAAGGATAACATTATCACCTACTGACCTACAGAAAATATGCAAATCTTTACGCTCATCCAGGCATAAAAAAAAAAAAAACCACACTATCCTGGCAATTGAAGCAACGCTTAATCACAAAACGATGACCAATAATCAACATTGATGGCCATTCAGATGCAACACTATAGTTGCCTGAATGCATGCAAAATCAAGACCAAATTTCCCTATCCAATTTGCATGACTCAATCTTCTAATAATGACCAGAAAGAGAGTCTTCAGCAGCAAGCGGCAGTCCCTCCTCCAGCTGATTCTGCAAACCAATTTGCACCTTTAGCATCAACTTTCAGGAGGCGACTTCTCACAGGTGTTGCCTCGGCTTCTGTGGTTGCTGTTGGCGCTAATTTTGCCGGCATTACTAGCTTTCTTCTTGGGTTGTCGCCTGAAAATGCTAGGAGCTTGAAGCTAGATGTTCTTTATCCGATTGAAGGGTATAGCAGATGCATTGAAGCTAACCAGGCCTTTGCAGATCAAGGATTTGGTTAGTAAGTGAATTCCCCTCTGTCTAATTAACGAAGCTAATTCTTGAAATGTTTGAAAATACAGTATTCAACATCCCAAGTGCATAAAAGCTTTGAAGAGAAATCACTAACTACATAGATAATCAAGTCTTGATTTTACAGCTACATAGAAATTGGTTTTATGACAGACAATATTAATTTATATGTATGGAAACAATTCTCAAGTTTTGGGTAAACTAGAAAACTAGAAGGCTAACAATTACTTTTTTATTAGACTTTCAAGTTTTGCTATGATACTGTGGAAAATGCAGAGTTCATATATCCTGCAAATTGGGTTGGAGATCAAACTCTGTTGTCTAGAGCAGCTGGGAAGGCAGAAAGATCACTGGATCCACCAGGGCTTAAAAATGGCCGGAAATATGTAAATGAGCCAATTGTTGCATTTGGTCCACCGGGTTCGACCGGAGAGCTCAATGTCAGTGTAATTGTCTCAACAGTCCCCAGTAATTTCTCGTAAGTCCACTAAACCTTGTTTATATCTTTCGAGAATTATTGGCTCTGGTTGAAGAAGCTAATTTTCTTCTTTTTACCTTTTCGAAAAAAAAAAAAATCTTTTCCAACAAAGAGGTGTTAGGTTTGGGGTTTATCCCACCAACCGTGTCGAGAGGAATAAGACTTAAAAAGCGGGGAGGCGGCTAGGAGAATTTGAAGCTAATTATATACACTAGATTGAATTTCACATTTTCTGTTCAGCTGCCTCGGTTGATTGTTCTTTAAAAGGGGTAAATTTCAATGATATTATCCATAAGTTTACCCTTAGAACAAATGCTTTGCTGGTGATAATTGAAACTGCAACTTATCTTTTTTCTTTATTTAGGGGAGTGCTATTATAATTTTTTTTAAATTAAAAAGAGAGAGAGAATTCGTAAAATGAAAATCTTTTACTAAGTGACAATGCGACTTAGCGACGGATATATTAGTGTATAGTAAATTACACAAATATATTTCTTGAATTACACACTCTTTAGCATTAGAAGTTTAATGCCATGTTTAGATTGCTATTTTCTAAAGAAAAATGTTTATAATTTTCATGAACAAATTTTTCAATCATCTTTTTGTCTCATCTTTAATACGGAAACGATATATAGCTGGCGGCTCTCAAGAATAATCACTCAGCAATCTGCATAATTGTTTTCTTCTAGGAATTTGATACATGTCTGTGGAAATTATGAGTGTGCTAGTGGCAATGGTACTTTGCTGCATAATCAATCTTCTACATTAACATACCATTCCTTGGCCCCTTCACAGTATTGAGCCATTTGGGAGTCCAAAAGAAGTTGGAGAAGAATTGATCAAGACGATCACTGGAAAACGTCCAGATGTAAAGGGAACCTTAATCCAATCATATTCAAGAGAGGATTCCTCCAAGAATGTTAGATATTACTCGTTGGAATTCCAAGTTGAAAGCCCAACGTTTCAAAGACACAATGTTGCAGTATTTTGTACCAAGGGAGGAAGGCTGTTTACTCTGAATGCTCAGGCCCCAGAGTCACTCTGGCCACAAATTAAATCGGACTTGTATACAATTGCTGATTCTTTTAGTCTAACCTCATAAATAAATCCCAGTTGAGAATTTTTCTGTCATCAACATGGTTGGCCCAAAAAAAAACATGGTTGGTTCAAAATTTCATATTCTTCTTTGCTCCAATTACAACAAAAAGCTTTTGGGCAAATTATACTTTACCCCATGTGGTTTAGTGTTTATTTACATAACCCTTTATAATTTTAAAAACTATGCATAACCCCCTCATTGTTTGAATTAAAGTATCAAAGTGACGGAATTTGTAATCCATAACGGGGTCAACTAAAATGTCAAAAATATCGCTATATAAAGTTGAAAATTATTTATTAACCATAGAGGGCTATGTATATATATTGAAAATCATAAGGGAGTTATATGATAAAGTACTAAATCATAAGGGGATTGTATGATAAAATATAAAATCATACGGGGTTAGAGTGTTATGTGTTTATATAATTTGGTCATTTCAGCTATTTTAGTTTTTAAACAAGGGTAATTTCGACATTTTCATAGGTTCTATTATGGATGATCATTTTCGTTACTTTGACACTTTAATCCAAATTATAAAAGGTTACATATATTTTTTAAAACTATAGGGGACTATGTGAAAATTAACTATACTATAGAAGTATAGGGGGTAAAGTGTAATTTGCCCAATGCTTTTTCCTTTGGAGGAAGAAAAAAAAAGAAGATAAGAGTGGAATGAAAAGATTTAGTCAACATTAGGAAATATTGTGCTAGAAGTAATTTTTTTTAGGGGGAAAGGGTTTTAAGCCATTCTTACTCTCGACCCATATCAACTTTTCAGGTGATTTTTTTCTCAAGAACTTATGTGTTTTATTGGTTAAACTCCACCATTTTTTTCTTTGGGGTAAGAAAAAAAAAGCATCACACTTTTCTCTGATGTAAAAAACACAGTTTTGAAAATGAGGAAAGGTAATTTAGGAGAAAATCATGATTTAAGATTGGGAAAAATTTTTAAAATATGTGAGTAGTGTGGCGTATTCTTCTAAGCTGATTTATTAGAGTCTAAATTAAGTACTTGCCCGCTAATATTGTATTTGAATCAGGAAAATGAGGGATGATTGTAGCAAAAGTAGTTGTCTTTTAAAGCCAAAGTAAATATCTTTTAATTATTTCCCCATATTTATGTTTGGTTAACCAAAATTTTTAAGGGATGGTTAACAAAATAGTTAAGGGTTGAATTTTCCTAAAAGAATTATGTAATTGTGTCCCATGCAATTGTTATGTAATCACTCTCACCTTGTGGTGTTACTTTTACCCTAGATCAAGAATTGAATGAGGCATCTTCTGTAAATGAAGGCATTCATTTTTGCCTTCACAATGGAACTAGAAGACATGCGATGCACTTATTTATCATACTCATTCTATTGAATTTCAATTTTTTGTAACTTAAGCCTTGTTTGATAACTCAATTCATTACTTAAACTTACAGTAAATTTTATATACACGGTCAGTGTATACACTATCACAGTTGGATGGATGACATATGCGCAAATTTTAAATTTCAAAATTTGTACATATGTCATATATTTAATGGTGATAGAGTATACACTGACGGTATATAAATTTGATGTGTTCAAATCTTAATATGTTCAGTTGCGTTGAAACATAAAAAATAGAACATCTAAATTAATTAAGTGGCACTAAATTTTCTAGGCAAAACTTATCCCAAAAATAAATGATAAACTATTCAACTTATTACTAATATAATATACACTCAAATGTATCAAATTTAGTATTTTACTATTCAATAATTTAATGGATTCAGATTTATTTTTATCAAACGCACCCTTAGATTCAAATTGGTGTCCAATCAGAACAGCAAAAGTTTATTCAGGTTAAACTAGTGTGGTAGCCAATGCACGCACGAATTAGGTGGAATGAGCCTTGTTTTGTTTGCTTAAAATTTGCAAAATCTAATTATGCAAAATGATTATAAAAATAATCAGAATCAGCAAAATTTATTCTTTATTTGATTATTAATTTTAATTTTTTTATCTATTTAAAAAACAATAATTTGAATACAAAAAAAAAAAAAAACAAGTAAGAACGTCATATAAATTAATTATCCAAAATTAGAATTTATGATCAGCTAAAATAAGCAGGTCGAAAACAAACCTATTATATAGCAATATAACATCCAGGACTTTCAGAAGATAAGTCTATCTCGTGAATCATTAAAATAACCATATGTGACTAAATACATAAAAAGGTGAATATGGCTATGTTGTGATTTTCATATAAGATTAATCTTTCATACATTATTAGGATTAGTCATTTTTAAGCTCTTAGATAAAAATAATATAGTCTTTTACACACAAACACAAATGTCGATTTATTACACATAAATTTATTCAAATTCTAAATTATATATTTTTTATAGAATTAATCCTTTAAATTCTAAAATATTTCACATAGAATTAATCCTTCTTATTTTATTAGATAAGATTAGCTTTTTCCTAACATTATTTGTGTAAATGTATAATCCACATCCTCCATCCAAATTCTAAACTATTCTATTTTATGTTTTCCTATGACATTCATCAAATTTGTGTAAAAATATTAATCCATACTATCTTTTTTTTTTTCTAAACACTAGCGTAAATGTAAATATACACATCTTCTGTCCAAATCTTAAATATTATATTTTTCACATGACATGCATCGAACCATGTAAAAATATTAATCCATACTAGATTAATTAATGGGTTAATTATATTTACCTCCCCTAAGGTTTGACCATATTACCAATCAATTCCTGTAATTTGTCCAAATAACGGTCTCACCCTTTGAATGATCAAACATTTAACAAAAACCCCCTTAATGCCGAAAATACCCTTTTTGAGGCCATATTGCATTAAAAAAAGAACATATTTTTATTTATTAACCTTCAAGTAATCCAAAAAAATCATCAAAAAGTTTTTGCTTATTATTTTATAAAAATCATATCTTTGCTTCCATAAATAGTTTTGAATCAATAATTATTGTAAATCTTAAAAATGAATATTAAAAATTAGATAAATTGAAAGAAAAATAAAAAAAAGCAATTATTTTAAATCCTCAAGTATGATTCGAATTTGTGGTTCAAGGCATGTTGCGGAGAGCACAAGGCATGTTTTCCTCAATTTGAACCATACTTCAGGAATTAAAATAATTTCTTCTTTTTTTATTTTTCTTTCAATTTATCTAATTTTTAATATTGATTTTTAAGATTTAAAATAATTATTGATTCAAAACTATTTATGGAAGCAAAGATATGGTTTTTAAAATAATAAGCAAAAACTTTTTTCTATTTTTTTGGATTGCTTCATGATTAATAAAATAAAAATATGTTCTTTTTTTAATGCAACATGGCCTCAATAAGGGCATTTTCGGCATTAAGGGGGTTTTTGTTAAGTGTTTGATCATTCAAAGGGTGAGACCGTTATTTGGACAAATTACAGGGATTGATTGGTAATATGGTCAAACCTCAGGGGAGGTAAATGTAATTAACCCTTAATTAATTACATACTGGATTAATCCAGTATGGATTAACAATTAATTACAGAGCATATAGAAAATCGCTCTCTTCACTTTCACCAGGACCGGATTAACAACAAATTACAGAGCATATATAAGTCCCCGGCACCGATTCAAAATTCACCAAATTCTAATACTATAAATAAATAACAAGGAGTGATAGTAAGTCCAGTCCTCTTCCTTCGCCTCCAGAACATTTCCGGAATCGATCTCAGATTTTCTGAATTTCGATTCCATCTGAATCCCAAATTGCAAGAGAACCAGAGAAAAAGGAAGCAAGGGGCTGGAAATAGCAATGGCGAGGTCTCTTTCTAGCCTCGCATATCCGGAAAGATTTTACGCCGCGGCAGCCTACGCTGGCTTTGATGGATCTCCCGCTTCTTCTGTGAGCTCAAAGTTCTCTAACGACGTCGCTCTCCTTCTCTACGCCCTCTATCAACAGGTCCCCCCAAAAAATTCTCTCTTCCCCAATTTTGATTAAATTTGGTCGATCTGGATGTGTGTTATCTGAATTATCTGCATTTCAGGTGTATTTGATTGAATTGGTACTGATTTGTGATGTATTTGGGGAATGCTTTGTCCGAGGGTTTTGATGTTGTTTTTTATCTTGTTAGATCTGGTGATATTTTTTCTGTCTTTTTCGGTTTAAGGATTGAGTTGAGAGTTTGATGATTATCTTATCGAATGTAAGGTCTAACAGGAAATATGGGTTTTCGTTTAAGAAAGAAATGAAATTTACCTACTCTCACTGCTGGATTTAACTTATGCATTTTTCTGTTTGATTGATGAGCGGATGCTAGCTGGTATGTTCCAAATGCCTTGTAGCAAGCACCAAAGATAACTGTTGGGACTAGCACAGGAGTCTAAGCTTTATTCACTTTAGAAGGTTGATGGGAAAATGCCTTTGATCCCTAGTGAATTTTATTTGGCTTTAGAATTTAATCTTTAGATCAGGGCCATAGATTTGAGATCAATCTAGTAGGTTTCAATCAATCGAGACCATTATTTGAGATCAATTGGACATGAACCCCAATAAAATAAAACAGTCAATTATATGGCAATTACAAAGTTTAGTAATTTATATTCCCGCTGTTGTATTTTGCATTCCATCCTAAATCATCAGCCAATAAAGAATTTGTGATTATAACTGCTTTAAGGAAAAAAGAAAAAGAAAAAGAAAAAAATGTTGGCTTACAAAGGTGTTCTGTCACCTCGAGTGAATGTTGCCTTGTATGTTAGATGCTGCATTAATAAGTTTCAGCCTGTTGGTTGGAAAGTAATCATCTTTTTCTGTTTTCTCTTGTCCTTGTGGTGGTGTCTCTTTGTTTATAGGCGACAGTAGGACCCTGCAATATTCCCAAGCCCAAAGCATGGAGTGCTGTTGAGCTAAGCAAATGGAGGAGGTTTGTCTTCTTGAGCTTTATGATTTGCTTATTAACAGACTGGTATAATACCGTTAGTCTCCACATTTTCATGAAGAATTCTTGGTTATCTTGGTGTGGAGTATAGCTTGAACTAGCTTT